CGACGAAAATCCATGACCAGGAAAAATTGCCAGAAATGTGGTTTTCACCTTTCCGGGATGACAGCGGTGGCGGCTGCCATGGGAATTTAAGAAGAAAGACACCGATTTCGGAAAAAGAGTACTCTGAAGCGTGCGTGAACATTGGCGCATTCAGCGTATCTTATGTGCAGATCGGATTTGGTGGCGATGGATGCATGATGTATTCAAGCAGCATCTAATCTGTAAGTACACTTGGCCGCTGCTGCAGCATTTGATAATCTTAAGAAATGCGGGTACCAACTGATCAACTGTCGTCTATAGCTGCCGTGATCAAAATACACGACGGAAATGATTCCAGTGAACAATGCCCCTGCATAAGAATATTTTGGGGACACATTACCTGGTAAATGTGTGTCATAATGTTGTTATGTGGAAAACAGGAGCATGAAATGAATTCTCTGCCATTACTGCAGCAGGTTGGTGAAGATTCACAGGAGATTGAAGACAAAAAAATGGAACGAATGGGACTCACTCCTGATTGGATCATCCATACGGCAGCCTTCAACGTATTCCAATTGCCGGTATGTTTCCCACAACACAATGTTCCGGGCCATTTGTGGCGTTGATTTCACTGTTGCAACAGCGCTACTTGATCCCTTTCAAGTTCCTACTTGTAGCAGAGCTGCAAATTTATTGATTGAGCAAGCGTCAGCTTACCCACTTGAATTGTGCAAAATGTCAGTTTACCAAGACGTTGTGAGCCCACTTTGCGCTTTGCAGGCAACGCTGAAGTTAGCCCGCTTTCCATGATAGGCCCGTTACATAGCAAACAAGTACTTAGGACAAGTCATTTCAGGCAGAAATTCTCAGGCCATTTGTGTGCTCAGGCTTAATATTTACATTGCATTTACGTTTTTGCGTTTAGTAAACGCAAAAACGTAAATACGCGTAATACGCTTTTACGCTCAAAAACGTAAATTTTCGAAAGGGGCTATTTGTGCAGCTATTTTGACTTCTTTACGGCTCCCTGGGGCACCCAGGTTATACGATGGACATCGCGTACAATCGACAGTCTTCTGCCATCTCCAGCACCCGAAAAAAAGTGTCATGACGACAATGCCGGGGGGGACGGGAGGGGGGGAGTAGCTTTTTGTTATCTATTGCACACATGCAACACATTTTTTTCATATCCCCGTCCACAGTTGTCTTTCCCCATTCAGGTGCCTTTGCATGTTGATCAACCTCGCCATCGGCAAGGGAAACGAAAGCATGGAACACAAGTTTGTTTTCTACCCGTTCCAGCGCATCTGACTGCCACTCGCCGGACTCCCAAATCTGCATGCACTGTCCTTATGAACAGGAGCTGTATTTACGTTGTATTTACGTCCTTCTAGGCGTTTTTAGGCGGAAAAACATAGAAACTATTTGTGCGTGTAAAAGCGTAAATACGACTTGTGTTTATGGCATAAATACCAAGACCGGGTTTGCTTCGTGACCGTGCAATACACGAGTTCCTTTATATATTGTTGGACCCCGTGAGGGTACCGTACATCACGGGGGATAGCGCGTGGGGTGTTTAACATCGCGGGGGGCCTTAGACAACGCCCCCCGCGTTATCGAACGTGGCTACCGATGCACTGCCCGAGGGGTATGCGGCTCCCACGATGGGACACCGTCGTTCATTACCAAAAGGTGCAGCGATGCAGTGCAGGAAATTGCAAAACTGTGATGGTGACGTTCTGCCACTTTCACTGTGACTGGCGCCCTACTTTAGATCGGTAGTGGATGTGCTAAATATGTCTTGCGGTCAGTGAGGCAGCTTTGGGGCGCTGCTGATTCATCGGCTTGATGGGTAACTCACGAAGGCACGTCTTGGCACACTCTTGACGCCAGGCCACATGCTCAGTGCAGGGGGTGGGGTCTATTCTTTGTGTTCTATTCTACACATGCAGCACATTGTTTTTTCATATACACTTCCACACTTGTCGTTCCACATTCAGGCGCCTTTGCCTGTTGAACCTTGCTGTTAAGCATATCTTCAAATTAAATCGCAATGTCAGGCTCTGAGAACCAGGAATACAAGCGCGTCGAACAGAGAGCCTCCCGCGTTTGATACCATCGCTTCAATTGATGTGTTTGATGTGTCTAGTTTTTTTTTTGCGTACGCCCACGTGTCGTCCATTGGGTCGATGCGCAGGAACCAACGGTGGAGAAGCCCTACATTGAAGGACTTCTCGACCCCTGCACGAACAGCAAAATCGCTTCAAACATCCCGGCGGAGAAGCTGTATGACAAGAATGATAACGGACTGAAACTCTCCAACAGCTGGACAGGCTATTACGTGATCCTAAATCCAGAGTACAAAGCACAGGTATGTGACCCACGTACATACTTTTGCAGGCTGATGCCTCCCCAGCCATAGTTGGAAAGTTGCAGGATTTTGATTTTCCATGCAATGCAAAAACTACTCAGCACAAGGACATCGCACTCTGAATTTATAATCTTTTGCGCAAGTTCAACGAGCCTGAAATATTCGCATAGATCGGTTCTACATGTAGAGGCACTTAAACGGGGAAAGACAGCTGTAGACGGGCATATGGAAAAGAGTGTTTGGCATGTGTACCCTGATGGGATCCAAGAACCCACTCTTGCGAAATGCTCCTGTGCATGTGCACAAACACGAGCCATACCTGTTTGGGCCGGGTGCGCGCCGCAGGTCCAATGGCGATTCGTGAACAGGGCGATCGACGAGGTGGAGAACGACCGCGTGCCAGCCGTCCTGCTCATATGCAGGAACTCCACGGACACCGCGTACTTCCAGCGCCTGACGCCCTACCCGCGCGTCCTGCTGCGGCGCCACACATCGCAGTGCAAGGACTACGACAAGTCCCCCATCGGCTTTGGCATCGTCGTCTTCTGCGTCGCCAAGGGCGACTGCCTGGATTTGTACGACAGGTTCGTGCGCTTCTTCGGGCCTTGGGGGGAGCCCAACATCGTCATCGACGCAGGTAAATTCGGAACAAGGGCTGCCCTGCGAGCGCGACTGGCAAGTCAGACTCCTTTTGACACAGGCACAGGAATGCCGCCGCGGCCCTCGGATAACCCTCGCTCCCAGACACGAACGTAATGAAGGCCATTTGTAGGTTTAGGTTTCTACGCTTGTTTAACATATTGAACATGCCGTAAGCCTAAACACGAAATGGCTTAATAAATTTGCTAGGTGGTAAGGCCACTTTACTCCTTCATCGCCCCTTCATCAACGTTGATGAACGATGATGAATTTCACTTCGTAGACAGAAGCGATATATACACGAGATTTCGGTTCATCTGAGCGTGTTTGCGTGCGGTTAGAGCTGCGGCTGTGTTGCTGAGTTGCGCAGAGTGGCTGAAGTCCAAGGCCTGCACTGAGCTGCTCGCCCGCTTGAAGGTGCATGCAGCGCAGTATCACCGAGACCACTGGATACAATGCAGCGTGTGCGGCAAGTGGAGGATCATTTCGTATGCCGCCATGGTGGCTGCAAAAGACATGGACTGGAAATGCCAGGACTTGAGGTGCGTTTCTCGCGAATGGAAAGGTTTGCACTGCATTTCGGAATGCTAGTTCCTTAGGGCGTCGGAATGAGTCTTCTCTACTTGGCAGCGGGGCATCGGAGAATTTTTATACAGCCTATAAACACCATGCGCTTGGGGTGATGCCCAAGCTGAGCCCCAAACTTGTTGGGGTGCCGACTGATTTGGCTGAAGTGGCCGCGATACCACACAGATGAAATGGAGCGATGATATGGAAAATATTCGCCAACAAAAGTCGACTTTTGTGTAATGATGTCATTGGAAGTACGGGTTTCTATGCTGCGGAACTCGGCTGGTTGATGCTTGGAGCTGTTTCAATCGCTTATTAACGACAACGCATGTGCTGCCTTGTGCATGGTGAAGCGAAAACGAGAATGTCCCTTTAAGCACACTTCCAGACGAATTGGCCACTCGTGAGGTGGCGTACCAATGCAGCCATGGCGTTTTTTCTCTCTACTGCGGCTAATTGGAAAAGAAAAAAGATTTAATCAGGAAACTGCTGTCCGAAAAAGACCCGGTGCTGCAAATGTGAGAGGGGATGTAGTAGTGTTTCGATCATTGTAGTAATCGCAGCAGAGCATCGAAGTTCTGTGGTATATCAATAGATTGTAATCAGCTGAATGACGCAATAGCAATTTAATTTGTTTCCTATCACGCGCTGATGACATTTTCAGGATTAAAATCGCCTCGCTGCATTGAGGCAGTTTCTAAAGTTATTCAATACTTGAGACGGCCTATTGAATAGTTCTGTTTGATTGGGACAGTCCTCCATACAGCAATTGCAGCATGCCGCAAAGGAAAATCGAGATTCTGGGAGCGCGGTACGCCGTTCTGGGAGAAGATGACGATGAAGACCCTTCATGCCCTCCTGGTATCAAGATATTGACGACATCAGGCTGCAGCCAGAAACTCGAGCGCGAAAAGCGAGACCAGCGAATGCGCAAGAGGCAAAAAAGACAAGTTTTGGATTCGCAGTCGACCCCCAGCGTTTCTACCGACCAGCGCGCCAGCGGCAGCGAGGACGAAACATCAGAGCAAGAGGAGCAATCCCCGAACTGCGGTGACGATGCAACCCTCAGAGTGTCGCCTTTCCCCGGAACCGCTTCACGTAACGGCACTGAATCCCCACGTTTGATACCTACAGACGACCCGACGGAGCCCGTCGATTGCAAGCCGGATTTCTCCCCGACGCCACGAGCACCACACACCTTTCCTGGAGAGGACGGAAAGCATGGAGAGGGGCTAAGCTGTGACGGTGAGGCACGCGCCGAGGAGGGAGAGGAGATGGAAGGCATGCCAGTCCAGATTCTGTCAGGCGTGGAACTCATTCGGCAAGCGCGCATGTCGTCCAACGCCGCGTTTGTCAGGGGCATGGATCGGATGCCCGCGGCGTCAGGTGCACAGGAGTCGGGCGCCGGCGCGAAGGAACCCACTGTGGAAGAGCAGCTTCAGGCAAGGATGTGGCACCGCCACAGCGTGAGGGGAAGCCTGCGATTCGAATCATGGAGGGGAGAATGATCTCGAGATGTCTTGGAAGATCGGCATTATCTAGCGAAGCGATCCAAAAAAAAGCGACAGGACTTTACCGCTGTCTGCTCAGATTTGATCAATGTATTATTGATCACTCCCAAAATCATATGGATATTGTCCAAGCAGCTGAGCCTGTGTAGGTTGTTGCCCAAACGTTTGAATCTCCACAAAACGTGGCATTTGTACTGTGCTCGCGCTCAGCACAGCAATTGGGCACCGATAACTTTTTGTGCTAGCAACAGACTTTCTTTCTTGCCTTTATTCCTGCGCTACAAGGAAGTTTCTTTCCAATGCGTCTTCCATTATAGCACATTTATACCTGGAGGGTGCATCAGTCAACAGTTTTCCACAACATTCCGCTTGGAGCGGCACTTCACAATGATGAGACTGCCTGAATTTCTAACGGTAACAACCGATGTTTTCATTTTGATCTAATCTGCTGCTGCATGGGGTGCAGACAATTAGGGATGGTGCTCGAGCGAATGCCCTTGCAACTGCCCGTCTCCAGCTGGCCCATGCGGAGAGGGTTTACAGATTGGTAAGGGAGCGCAGATCGAAGGCTATGAGAACTGCCGACCAAAAGGTGCAGAGGCTCAAGGCGGAGGAAACTGAGGCAAGGGAGCTGCTGAACAAGTACATCGAGGAGATGGAGAAGAGGCGAAGCGCATCTGCAGAGTGAAATCGAGCTTCAGGGCACTTTCCTTCAGTTTAATATTAGGAGAAGATGGCAAAAAATTCCAGTGTTGCCGTGAAATAGCTGATGTTCATTTCATTTCATCGGCATCAACGGTTGAGATTCCATTGATCGGAATTTCTGAGCTAGTCATTATCCAGACTCAGAATGTTGGCGATCACCGCTTATCAATGCACTGCTCTGTTACAAATCAATTTCTCGTCTTTCTGTAGTACAAAGGGTGCTCCGCAGTGGATGAAAAAGCGATTGCCACTGTTCAGTCTTATGAGCACAATTCCAGAAGTGTCTGCCCGGAGCTGGAACTTGTCTGGTTGCGCATACCATAGTGGAGACCAAAATACTGATGTTCGCAAAACAACTAATCTAAGAGAAATCGGGACCAGCAGAAATCGGGACCAGCACTTTTGCGCACATCCCAAGATAACGTGGAGAAAACCTTTCCCATGGAGCATCTGGCGAGCAACTGATTTGATAAAGTTGAAAAAAGCCCATGATGCAACTGCTCAAACGAAAGAAAAATCCTCTTGCTTTTCAGGACATCTCCCCCATTGACAAAGAGGTCCTTGAAATCATTCCAAGACGCTTCTGGAGTGAGGTCAGTGAGCGGGAGAATATTCTAAAACCCTCAAACAAAGCATGAATTCACATGAGCTTCACCCGCAAGCACCAAATATTTTGCCAATTTCACCGGGCCCACCCGGGCACCCTGAAGGCCGTGCATCCCCTGCTACTCCCTCCCCCTCCTCGGAAGAATCGTTTTCATGGGGTTGCAGGGTGATTGTTGTCCAGTAATATTAAGCCTCCCGGGCAGCCTCTGGCCTCAACTGGGACAGTAGCACGCACCGCTGGCTGCTCCGCTGGCGAACCGATCCACCCACAGGACTGTTCCCCCATTTGCCTTCAGGCTGTGGTAGCGGCACTCGATGTCCTGCCCTCTGAGGTGGATGTGCACACAGAGGCTTAGAATTTGTCTACGGGTCGATGCATTGACATTTCACGCCAATTATCATCATCATCATCATGATTTTTTACAGAACAAGGCAATGAGGTAGCCGCCAGCTTCCTATTTTGCATGAGCAAAGCAGAGTCGGTGATTGGTTCATGCCAATCAGTTGATGGATGTTGTGCATGCGGGGCACAGCGGAGGCTTCTGACATGTAGAGCCGCCAAAAGGGCAGGTAAGGGGCGTTGATGAAATTCTTCATTCGTGCCACGCCCGTGAACGAACAAAAATTTAGGCGCCGGGCAGCGCATCTGAACAGTTCTTAATCCGACAAATCACATGGTGGCGAGAGCAATTTTTTTCCACAGAACGACCATCGCATCACTAATGCATTGAGCCATGCAACACGGGGCTCGATCAGCAATGATATGTATCATCCTTTGCGAGCCTTGCAGCTTATGACGGAAGGAACAGTGCACAATAAGTTTTCGTTTACGTCCATTCGGTTGTTCTCGCATATTTGATGGCTCGTTGATCTGATGATGGCGTGTGCCGAAATCACAAGCAAGACACATCTTCATCACGTGCCCTTCGTGTGCGGGTGCAGGGTGCTGGTGGGTGACGGGAGTATTGAACCCCACCAACACGTTCAACACCATATGAAGAGATCGCGTCCGTACAAATGTACCACACACACACGAGTTCCTTTCATGAGGGTGACACATTTTCCACACCTGCGGAAAGGCCTGACGCAGTCGCACTCCACCGGGTCGTCATCATCGGCTTCTTCGGCTTTCTTCATAAGGCTGTGTGTGCAGCACTTGCGAAGCACATTCCACTCGGTGCATTTAACGGCGGCCACGCGGTTGAAGTCTGCATTTGCTGAGCCGGAAGCATCAGCGGAGCCAACGCCCTGAGTGGTGGCACCCCCTCCTGTTTGAGCATCATTTGCCCCGAGGACCTGAGTGTAGGAATTAGAATCCGACAGGGCCGTTGCCTCGCCTGCAGTAGACGGCCATTGAATGCACCGTCAGTGCAGCGGGTAAGCACGGTGTGGGCATTTATATGCCAGTAAGTCGCGCCTGTGTCGTCATGTATCGTCCATGTTATATTCAGAAACGTTCAAGCATGGCATTTGCGACCCTGAGCGTCTCTGATTCGAGGCCAGAAAAGGGATTTCAGGGTTGGCGATTGCACTGTCCATATTGACGTAGCAATGAGCAGAAATGGGTTGAAACAGCAGAATGCTCTCTTAGCTCTCCGAGAAGAAA